ACATAGGGCAATTATGAGTCTTCCCCAGATGGACACGTCGTTGGTCCCACACGTACAGATTTACAGGGTCCATCTGGACTTACTTCTTTGTAACTTTGGCAACTATAGTAGGAGGCATCGCCAAAGTTTGATGTAGTGGAGCAAGTTGTAGGTCTGGGGAAGTAGCGTGTACGATATGCCTAGGATACTACAATCGAACAGGACACTAGATAGGGGCATTTGGTCTCTCGTGATTTTTAGGCAAGAACAAAATAACACAAGGAAGCAGATATCACCGTGCGGCACCCGCGTGCAGTTTACGACGCCAACATTCCACAGGCAAGAACAGCTTTGAGCACAGACTCTCAGCCCCTTAAACTATCGTGTAAACCGCTTAGTTGATACCACTATAAGGTAAGATACGGTTACACGGAGCCGTCTGATCTAACATACTCCCTTTTAATGAAACAGCGTTGCCTTCAGAACATGACAAAGACACGTCGCACAATCATACCTGTATGCACACTTGCCATGCGGCGGCGTCTGCGATTGTGTATCGAACTATGTGCGCTCGCGTGCTTATACACTACGACTCAAAAAATTTTAGGTAATTTACATCAAATATTAGATACCCGAGCATCCACTGGATCACTTCTTGGAGTGGATAACTGCTCCAATTCTGGTCAACGTACTTTTTTGCACACGCGAAAGTGGATGAGATGGGTTTTCTATCATTTGTTCACTTCAAAACAATGCCTGTAGCCTAACATGGGTTTTTCTTCTAGCGGCTAATTTCCAGTTTTGTGTAAACCTAAGCACATTCCCCCTACGACCACTCCTTGAGTGAATCTAAAAGCAAGGGAACAGAGATATTTCATGTGGACAGGCCCTAAGCGAAACTGCAACCTCACGCTAATGGTTTTATGGCCAGATTACAATATCAATTATGGATATCGAGAACCTGCTAGTGAGCAAGGGACTACGAATTTAAAAAATCGCCATAAGCCGGACGACAGCTAAGAACTAGTCAAGGACTTGAGTAGAAGTCTTCTTTGGAGGCTTCTGTGAATAAAATATTTTAATAAAGGCGCACTAGTGCGAACATCTAGATTCAAATCCAGAAGTAAAACTGTTTGTGACATGATTACGATAACTAACCAGTGGAGGAGGTATAAATAGTCCCGTATTTTCATTCTGATGAATCTTCAGACCAGGAGCAATCAAAAGAAAATACCTCAGGACCATTTCTAACAAAAATAAACAGAGCCTATCACCAAGATGCAGTAAGTTGAATAACCGAAAGCGTTTCAAACCTTTTGTTACTGTTCATTTAAGAAATCAAAGCTGGGATTACATGGGTAGAATTGGGTGATAACAAACCTTGGATTACCCAAGCGGAGAGTTGATGACCATCTTGAACGGCAAACCCATTAGTGTCGAGATAGTAGTTTTTTTACTGTTAACTATACAGACATGAGGGTCGGACAATGCACATACGCCATAGCTGAGGGAAAAAGCGGGCCGTTTTCCGCAAAGAAGCTTAAAAGTAACTAGTTCGATTTTCAAAGAATAACTTTGTTTTTTTTACTTACATTTAACACGACTTCTAACATTTCTCAATGACCTCGGATATTGTGTCTCATCGGGAGCCACAAAGATCCCTTGTTATAAAGCATCCAGCCATGCTCGGAGATGACGCCCTTGCATGCTTTGGTCGAACGTTTGTGTTGGATTTGTTGGCGTAGCACCGAATTTATGGGACAGCCAGCAAATAATATACTTTCGTCACGTAAGTAGTCACGTACTTACAGAAAGTAGGGCAATAGAAAAACGCTTACTACCCAGGTTGGACATCAGGTACGCGAACTCCACCATAAAGGAAGAAATTGGTGTTATTAAAGGACTCACGCAGGCAATCGACTGCAAACACTCCCTTGACACCTCTTCAGACAAGTCCTTAAATGCCGGCTTCCCAGAGTCGACTCGACATATAACGCATGTATGTTAACAAAATGGATGTCTGACTTAATGAACAAATGAACTCGAAAAGGTGTCCACTATGTCTAAACGAGTAGAGTTTCATCGTTGACGTTCTACCTACGTAAGCATTACATTTTAGTAAAAATGTGTGACAAAGTATTGTGCCTACGAGTCACGCTAAAAATGCAGCCTATGGCAGGCGGCAAGGACCATGGCAACACCAAAATGACCGGAACACTACGGCAGATGCCCTTCAGTTCAGACTAGCACTGAGACACCAACCGATAGCATAATTAGTGGTCAAGAGCGACGCAGGAACACATTAGCTGAGCTATAGGGTACCCTAAGAGATAACTTTCTGAATAAGACTGCTGGTCAGAGTTGAAAGATATGAGCCTGTGGCTTGTGGATATCTAAGCTAGGGATGAAAACCTTATCTGGCGAGATGAGCATACCGGAGGTTCCCACCACGGGAATTTAGTCGAATTTGCAACAAACAACTTGGAAACACGGTAA